TCTAAAGTCAAGAAACTTGACTCTGTTTATAACCTCTGGCGAGAGAGAGAGAGAAGAACCGCGAGAATCTATAGAATTTTCGCGTACAAATTTTGGGGAAAAGAACAAAATTAAAAATATATTGTATGTTATATGCGCACGTGTTATACAAGACAGTGATAATATAATTTTTAAATAATTATGATTAATAGAGAATACCTTTTTACGCAAGTATCAACTCCGTGTTCGATACGACATAAAATGATTTGAACATTTAATATGCGAATATAAGAACACCAGCAGATCTATCTAGTGGAGACAGATACCAAAGAGAAACGTGAGAGCGGCCAACAGGGCATTTTCGACGACACCGACTTTCCGCACTGGGAAAAGGCGCCATCTGCATCCATTCTGAGAGGGGAACTACGATACTACATTCACTTTCAGATATCGGCGGTAAAACCTGCATATGGTGGCAGTTCGTGCTACATCCATTTGTAAGACGGTTTATGTCCGTGCTACAACCATAATAGCGTACTTGACAAGCAAGGTACCGCACAGTGTTATGCGTTTATATAACACAAGAACACTACAAGCGCGTGCTACGCGCGCGCCATTTTAGTTTATTCATATTAAAGTATAGAATAAATATTATAAAACATCAAAATAATCTCTGTAGTGTAATAAAAATTTAATAATATTCGACACCAACATACGATGTATTAGGAGCATACAGTTTGAAATTCCATGACATATTTTCTGCATAGTAACGCGTAACCATATAACTAATGAATACCGACGTTTCACTCTTTTATTTCTTATTTTTCGCGACAACGATACCGCGACGATGCCCTAACGAGGCAAATTCGCCTATAACCAAAGTTCCTGTATCTTGAGCCGTTTAGGAGATATCGAAAGTTACATTTTTAAATTGTACTGTTAATATCTCCGCCTCTACTGGGAATTGAAAGTCGAGCTTTATGATGAGAATAGGGTATATGAAGGACTATATTGTGGTAAAGACACGTTCCTGTATTTTGAGCAACTTAGGATATATCGAAGACCACATTTTTCACGTGTACTGTTAATATCCTTGTTTCTACTAGCAACTGAGAGTCGAGCCTTATACTATATTGTGCCAAAGGCTCGATATTGTATTTTGAGACGTTTAGGAGACGAAGGAGCGTACTTGTATATTCAGTCGTTTAGGAGATATCGAAGGTTATACTTTTAAATTGCAATGTTAATATTTCTGTCTCTACTGGGAATTGGGAATCGAGCTTTATTGTGAGAATAGGGTATGTATATATAGGACTATATTGTGGCAAAGGCACGTTTCTGATTCTTGAACCGTTTAGGAGACATCGAAGGTTACAGTTTTCCAATTTGTACCGTTAATATCTTCACTACTACTGGAAATTGAGAGTCGAATTTTATGGAAAGAATAGGGTTGATACAGCACTATATCGTTGCGAACATACGAGCCTGCATCTCTAGCCGTTTAGGAGATATCGAAAGTTAAAGTTTTCCAACCTGTCTCCATGGATATCTCCGCTTCTACTGGGAGTTGAGAGTCGCCATTTACGGCAAAATGTAGGGTTTTGAGAGGACATTAATTTGGTGCCAGAACCAGGCCTGTATCTCTAACCGTTTAGGAGATATCGAAGGTTAAAGTTTTCCAGCCTTTCTCCGTTGATATCTCCGCTTCTACTGGGAGTAGAGAGTCGTCATTTACGGCAAAATGTAAAGAGTTGAACACAGATGTGTAGAAAACTTGTAAACTTTACCTTCCTGCAGGCCGACCCTGCTCTGCCCGAACCGGATCCTCCGGTGCGGCATCCGCGTCCGCCGGACTTGCTTCCCGCAACGTCTGGAACAAAAATTTAGCGTTCTTGGTTGGTAAGCTGCGGTAGAGAAAAAATGGTTGGTCAGGATGAGTGGAGAATATTCGCTACGATTTTTTTCTTTATTGACATTGAATGTCTAGATAGGAGCTCTTGAAAGAGCTGACGAAATAAAATGACAATAAGAAGCGGAGACAACAGTTGTGTGCTATCGAAAATATTCTTTTACGGATGGACATTTAAATTCAGATCCCGTAACAAGAGTAAACAAACTTGAAAGAAGCACTGACCGAAAACAAAAAAGGTCGCAGTCTAAGAAGCGATATGACGTTGAATATTCTACACAAGACCAATATTCTCACACAGGAATTGGGAATGATTCAGAATGTTTGATTGAGAACATGATGAATTCGAGATCAACGTCCATGGACCGTTATCCGTCTCTGTCTGGATCAATATCTTTTGTATACAACAACGCAATAAATAGATAGACAGACAGAGATTGACGAGAGTAATTGCAAATTCATAAAGTGATGATTACTAGTCGGATGATGACGGATTGTGAATGCCGAGCGCGAAATTCCGACTTCTTATTCCCGGAAAATTCGTCAAACGTACGCTCTCGTTATCGGATTTATTACCTCCCGCGTAATAAATGATTCCACATACCTGGAAACGTGACGTATCGCTGCCGGCGTTCTGCTTCTCGACTGCTGAAGTCCTCCGGATTTCACTCGCTCATGCTTCTAATGCTGATACTCGCGATTCGACCGTGCAGTTAATGAATGAGATGCCGACGCGATGCCGATTGAGTATCTCGAGGACCGACGAGATATATTTCTTTTAATTACACGAGACGGAAGTGACGAGAGCGTCGCGCACGGCTGCTGCTGATGGAATGAGGTCGGATACATGAGGTATTATAATACGCGAGTATTATAATACGAAGCAAAAAGTGTCGTCGCTCGCGAGCCGATCAACACAATCGGCGCGATGTAAACATTGCGGGCCTCGGCGGCGGTTGAAGCAAGAGAGACTTGCCTTTGAGCGTCTCTTGTTTTCTCGAAGGTTTCGGAACGACGAGGGGAATGCGAGGAGGCCTTTCAACTGTACGCGACATTGATGCACTCTATTTATTGATTACTGAAAATAAAGAAAATTACTCTGTCGAAGCATCGGACATTTGTTAGCTTTATGTTAATTAAAGAGGAATGTATACGATTAGAAAATGTGTTAGCAACTAATTGTACAGAGTGTAAGTTGTTGTGACGCCGTTTTCAGAGAATAATTAAAGGTCATGGTAGCGTTAAAGAATGGAATTTCATCCTATGCGAATTTAGTCGCGCTCTTATTAAATATTAGTCCTGTATAAAATGTCGTATTTGAAAGTATTGTTTCGCATTCACGAGATTTTGTCGTGAATTCTGCTCTCAGATTGGATCGCGGGTGAATACTTTTTAATGCGACGGGGAATAGAACGTGAAAATCTTGTATGCCTCTGAATCCGAAAACGATTAGGAGAAGAAGTGAATATTTTTCAATACGAAAGTTCGTATTTAAAAATTATCGATTGCGATTGAATACAAGACATATTTGAAACGAATTGAATCCTTGTTAATGCGAAGCATTCACTACTGCCATCTCGCATTTAGAGCGGTGAAATTTAATGGGAACTAATATTTTTTATTTTCCCTTTCTTCGGATCAGAAAGCAGAATTCAGACGTATTCAAAATGTCAATACTTTTTAATATGTTTCAGTTCGACATTTTATACAGAGAGATTATCCGTTGCGGACAATAACTCTTCTACTTTTCATTTAATATTCAATGATGATAAACATTTAATTGCATTCGTTTGGCTTTTTTTATTTCGAAAATAAGAAAATATATACCGGGGTGAGATTTTACCCATGACAACATTAACGTGATTTTCTTTGATGCTTTTTTAAAAGTTCAAATATTTCGTCGACTCGCGGGATATTTATAATCGGAGTCTCGTTACGTTAATTACGTGAATAACACGTGCTCCTCCGAGCGGATCGAATGCTCACCGACGGCCACTGTCAGTGCCACGAGCGAATGTCCGGAGCGGACGGGATGCTGAATTAAAAAACAAGACGAAGTGAACGGGACGCGGACAACGATACATCATGCGTCTCCATACATGTCAAATTGTTTATTATAGAAGAGACTTTGATACGGCAATATATATTCGAAGATTTAACATTTAATACGTACTTTTATTTTTTCTGCTCCTCCCCCCCTCTCCCCCGCTCTTTTTAGACCATCGGGCATAGAGTCTGGCATAGAGATGGCAACTGTCATTGCAGCACGGACATAAACCGCCTGAAAGTGGATGTAGCATGGACTTCCACCATATGCAGATTTTACCACCGAGGCCTGAAAGTGGATGTACTATCGTAGTTCCCCTCTCAAAATGGATGCAAATGGCGTCCTTTCCCAGTGCGGAAAGTTGGTGTCGCAGAAAATGTCGTATTGGCTGCTCTCAGGTTACTTTCTGCTACCAGCAAGATGGTAACTAACATTATGTTTAATGTAAATTACATTCGAAAGAGAAAGGTACACATTTAGGCTTTCGGTACTGTCATGGCTCTTGAATTACCTTCAGGCCCCTCGGGGCCCTTTGCCAATATGAAAATTTACCCAGAGCTGACAGTTTTTAGCATTTGTCAGTGATAGACATAAAACCCATTCTACATTAGTCGTAAGTAAATTAATCAATTATGATCGATTGTGATTAATCAATTTGCTTGTAACTTTGCGACTTATGTCTAATGTAAAGTATAGATAAATGGGCTCTATACACGTTGCATATCAGCAGCGCAGAGAGGTCCGCTCCATCTAACGACGACCAGTTTATATCACGTAGCCGTTTCCTCGAACTGCATCGTGAGTTTCTGCTTCTTTCCGGTTTGTCATGGATTAGCGCTGTTGCTATTGTTGACAGCAGTTCCAGACGCAGCTGTGTAATAATAGTGTATTCGATATTGCTCGCACTTTACTCGGATTCTCTGAAGCAGTTGGACGTCGTCACATCTATTGAAGCTATCAGAAAAAAAGATCGAGAAGCTAAAGCCTCATCGTCGAGAAGTTCCAAGACCGATTGAAAAGATGAGGTATTTGTAACTGAGAACGATACTAGCAAACGACTCCATTCTCGCGTATCTCACGTATTTGGCGTTCAATGTCTTTCATCCGTTTCTTCCATCATCATTCACGTTCATATCATTGTTCTCGTGAACTCTACGTCACTCGAATCTCGTCATTACTGGGACACGAAATATACGGTAGTCTACGTGATTGCTCCTCTCGGTAGAACGAAAGCGCGGGCGGGAACGAGCAAGCACGCCCGCATCTGTCAACCCGCCATCTTTTCCGCGAACGTTTTCATTCAGCTTCGCGTCAATTCGCGCCCAGGCTGTTTGTTTCACGAAATCGCGAGATTCTACAAGAAAAAGGAGAATTTCGTTATCGTGCTCTCAAACATTTCGCATCACCGACTTGTTTTAAACGACATCTTCCACCTGTCAAATGTGTGCGTGCGTGCATACGTGCACGCAAGACAGTTCTACCAGTACCCGTATATTTATGATCGATTTACGTGGAAATCGTGTCACGGCTAATTGTTCGGAGAATCACGCAGGTGTCGGCAATGACGTGCGTTCATTCTGACGCTTTAAACATGGTTGGACTTGTATATACGTGGCTTTCGATACGTCAGGTATACTTTCCAAAAAAAGATAATTGACGTTATCGTATTTGTTTTTGAATTTCCTGATACAAATCGAATTATGCGCACGATAATCACAGCTCGTGCGTTTTCGTTTGTCTCGTCCGCACTTTTATAGTGCTCTCGTATCACTTTTCGTTAGAAATGATTACCGAACGCTTGCATGAAATGGCGCCTTTGCGTATGCAGGGACTATGTTTGACTTGACGTTTCGCAGGTTTCGCATGTTAGTCATTAGCATGTCTGTTTATCTTGCGTTTGGATTCTCCATATGTGATCATTAGTTATCTGAGTTACGTGTAACGTTTGTGATTGGTGCTTTTTGCACTTAAGATAAGTTGGAATTCTATCAGTTAATTAGAGCATATTAACTTTTTTGAACTGATCATTAAATTGTCGGTTACATGGCCGTTCGCGTTACAATATGGAGTTGCATTTTGACAAATAATTTTTTTGTAAAATAATTTGTAAAAATAAGATTTAGAAACTGTAACTTTTTATCTGAAAATCTAGGATGTATATATTATGTTATATCTGTGGAAGTTATTGTAATTTTTTTATTTTCCAGTGGCAGATCGCAGATGTCAGCAATGAATGGAAAGAGGCCTTCTACAATGCCCTCTAGACATCAGCCAGAGATTTGCCAACCAGAGCCAGTTGTTCTGGCACAACATTTTGACTTGATCAAATATATTTATGACTGTAAGTACTTGCAATTTTTTGTATAACTCATTTAATTAGATAACTAGTTTTGCAGAGGAAAGTATTTTATATTGTATTATTTCAGCTTGGAATTCTGTATCTAGGGAGCTAGATATGTGTCATAATCAACCTCACAGTAATACCTCTAACTATAGAAATGGAGCATCAGTTACATATTACCAAGAACGCGAGCCAAATCCACAACTGAAGGGTAAATAATCAAGAAGAAAGCATAAATCAAGTTGTTGTGAGTGAAATAGTCGAACTTTATATTTGTAAAGATATAGAGACCAACTATTTCACTTATCTTATTTTATGTCTTTAATAAAATACTTTCTTTTTGATTACTGTGCATTGTAATTGGCTGCTATTCTCATACGCTAAATCATAATCTCATATATCAGGAGTAAGTATTGTATATATCAGTCTGATATTATATTTTCTTATTACTGGATTTTGACCTGTCTGCCGCAGATTTATTTCCACAATTATTTTCACTACTTATTCATTCCAAAAAGAATAATATATATTATTATAATAAAATATCCGGTTAAGTTAAAAGTTAATTTCTATCTTTCTGTGATCTATATTTTTGTATATTATCTTATTAATTACATATCATAATGTACACGTCATTGCATATTCACTAATAAATAGGAGATTTATTGCACTTTACAGATTTTGAGCCGTTCAATTTGGAGGCGTGGTGGGGACAGCGTGTTGTTCAAAGTATCACTAGGAATGCGAGTTCCTAGTGCCAGACCCAACATGTCGACTATAATCGGACATTTTCAAATAGACACAAGAAACAGAAGAGATAAATTGGTTACCCGCAAATTCAATCTTTGTTTTTAATTTATAAACAAAATTCGTTATTACATCCAAAACAAGACAAAAAGTGACGAAATGGTAATTTATATGTATATGTACTCGGAAAACAACTTTCGAATCTTTTGATAATGAAAAAAGCAAAAGGTAGTGTAATATGAAAAAAGGAAAAGAATGGGAAAACTGCGACAGAGACACGCAGAATAGTACGCGAGAAACATTCCTATCTTGAATTATATCTTAATGGGATATCGACTTCCGGTCTTCACCTTTTTCTTTAAAATTTCTATCTCTGTACGTATTCCATACGTATGTTAAATGAAGATCGGAAGTGAAAATCATACTTCTCTTGTTTCTGATATCGTGTTTGCAAGTTTGAAAGAGGCGTTTAATTATTAAGAAGATACTTGTATGACGAACTATTTATTTTAATCACTAAGCGATGCGAGATATACACGATGAGGCACATAAAGCGTGACAAGTTAACATTTAAGATTTTAGAGAAATGTTGAAATTATTGCTCTTAAAGTTTCGAGGAGTTCATGTACTGGCTTTAATAGTTTCGCTGCAAATAATACTGCTTGCAGAAAATAATGACTCAGTTTTTAAAATGATGCTTGATATGAAGAAAAACTAGGGAAATTGTTGTGTCACGTTCTATGTGTCTTACCTTGTATAATTTTAAGACGTAATTTACTATGATACACCGAATTTCAATCGTTATTTAAAGAGAAACGTAAAATAGTCATACGTCTTTTTATCTCGGTATAACATTAAATGAAATGAGTTTGCTGCTCAAAGGTGCACAAAGCATTTACAGAGTGCTCAAGCTTGTTTGAGCAAAAATTGCATAGATGAATTCTAAGGGACTGTACCTTCCTAAGGTATATATACGTAAATGTACTTTTCCACGTGTTGCATTTCACACATTTCCAAGGAGATTTTTCACTCTCACGTCCACAAGATCCGCACTTTAGCTAAGTAGCAAGTACTATATAAATAAAAGTGTTTTCCACGTGACGAAGGAGATTTTATTAACGTATAATATAGGAGACGCCGCACTTTAAATTTAATAATCGCGATGTGAAAATAGTGTGAACAATTGCGATTTTAAATAAGATGAAATGTATCATCATATATGAAATGATCATCATATATATCTATTAAAAAAAATTATATATATATACACATATATATATATATATACACATATATATATGTATGTACATGTACATCTATGCGTGTATAGCTATTGTATAAGTTAATCAGATAATGTTTCTAATGATAAAATAATAACGAGCAATGTTTCTATACACATGTAACGAGTATTTCTTTGCACTTCTCTGTTTTCACTTATCTGTTCTTTTTAGCTGAACTAAATTATATTTTTTGCTGTTTTGATGAAAAAATATCTAGCGTCGAAGGAAAAATAAATAGAATTTTCAGTAGTACTACATCTATTAAAAAGAACAGACCAACATATCCACTGTCTTATACGAACTTTGCGTTGTAAAGGAGGGATACTTTAAGCTATTGTATACGTAATTTGCAGTACGTATTGTTGAAAAACTACTAGGAATCCGCTGGTGTCTCTTTGGTATGGTAACTATGGACGGCTCCGTTATGCCGTCACATACCGTCCGCGAAATGTCACGCGAATAGTTATCGTATCAGTAGTCTGATGCACTCGAAGAATTTACCGTTTCCGTAGAATTTCACGTATGCTGTTATTGTACGAGCTTGACCCACTGTAGCGCGATATCAATTTACTAAGAATTTGTTTATGGATATCTAGTTTTGTTATATAGATACGTTGTATAGGTTTAATCCTTTACCTTCCTCCCCCTCATTTCCCCTTTTCCCTTCTTTCGTACTGTTCATCAAACAAATTCGTATATATTTCTACAATTTTTTTTGCTGTATTGTTACTCACCGACGTTGAAAACGCAGACCGCAGCAACAGAAATTCCGACATTCCGCTCGGCACTCTCAAAGACAGACTTTGTGCGCGGGAGAAAAGGATTAAAAATTGAATCTTGGACCGTTGTAACACGATGAACGTATGTCAGCTCTTTCGGTATTTTTGACTGGATCGTTTCACAAAATATTCATTTGCACTAATTTGAATGACTTTTTGCCCAGGAAAACGTACGACACTCACTCTCGATAATTCCGACGACAATAAATTACACGACTCACCGTGCATAAGTGGAAATCGCGTCGATCACGAAATGGCTTCTAGAATTTGTACTGCCGCCGTACGATTCCACTCGTAACGGTCGAGTTAATCAAAGTGGCGGTTTTTTATATGTTGCACCGAAGTACAGTGCGTTGCGCGCACAAATCCACCAATCATGATTGAGATATTTAGTCTGTTCTTTGTAGCTGCACTGCTGAACTGGTGCAATAAGTTAGAATCAGAAAACCTATATTTGTCTCACTTTAACTTATTGCATCAGTTCAACAGTGCAGCTACAAAGAATAGACCAATAGATTGCGTTCCGGTATTCACTGCCAGCACTAAAAATCTATAGTATACATGATACAAACTATATATTTTCAGTACTAGCAGTGAATCTTGGGACGCAGCCTGAAAAGGTCCATTGACCTACTTACAGTGCATTTGTATATTTTGCAGTACGCAAAATTATCGAAATGATGCAAATGGACAAAATAATAAAGCAACCGGTTTAAAAAACGCAATCACATTGTACCGGAATTACGAATGAATACTTGTTTTTAACTGCTGCATCTTTTGATTGCTGATTCTTTTCTGCTCTTTCTCCCACCAACTCTCAACTCTATATCTGTTTCTTTTTAAGTTTTATAAGTTCAGCGATAAAAAACAAACCTATTATTTCTTTTTCGCTTTCACTAGGTCCCAAATATTCATTCATTTCATTGAGAAAGTGCACAAAGTGTAACACAGTGCAACTAGAATGAGCAACTCTGCGCATACAACTGTTCGAAGAAAGCGTCGCTGGAATTGAATGGGTTGGCAGCCCTTTCCCATCGGGCTTTGGCGGTTGAAACACGGGTCGAAATCGTCGCCTCTTAATCAGGTATTTATTTCTATCAAAAATAAATTCCGCACGAAAATAAGTATCAGATTTGTTGCGCCGAATGACAGGCAATCATTTTATCGTATCAATCGGTCTGCACCAACGCAAATAAGCATGATATCTTTCGATATTCGTGGTACGGTATCTCAACCGAACATCTATGGCGTTGCGTCGGAAACGGGAGGCTATGAATCAAGTAGAGCAACTGCTTCTGCTTGACAAAACAAGTATTGCGCGATTTAGCGTTAATATCACGCTTCGGAAAGCTTGTGCTTTTTGCCCGCGATAATGTGTAGAGGTATTAGCGGTCGCGTAAACTTGCGTAAGATTCTCGGTTTTTAACGTTAACGTCGACGTCGGTCTTCAACGAATGTCAGCCATTTCGCCATTCGTAAAAAATGTACACGTTTACCCGCGCTATTTGCTATATTACGACTCTCGTGCCATATCCGTTTGTCACCGTTCAAAATGCAGTCAATCCGTGTTTATTTGCATATTAAAGCGAATCGCGTATATATTAACCTACTAAAATCGTTGCGCGAAGAATTAATAAAATATCTTTATTGTTAATTATTATTTACAGCATAACATTTTATTGCGGATGTATTCTCGAAGAGTTAGGATGTAAAGTCGCGTGAGAATCGTCGGCGATGTCACTGATAACGACTCTACGATGCTTGGTGAGTAGATTTATTGATTTTATTTGTATGATTAATTGTTAGGGTAAAGAATGAAAGATTAATTGTAAAAAGGAACTAGGTTCTCGATTTTGTGTACTTTTCTGCAATATGATATTTGTATGCGTGACTAAGCACTTCAATGATTTAATTATTTGCAATAATATGATGTCCGAAATTTCATTCATAACGACAATGTTCTTAAAAACATTGTCGTTTTTAATATGTTCCTTTAAGTAAAATAAAAAAATAAAGTTTTTATTTTTCGTGTGAAGTCTTTGTCAGCAAAGGTTATACCGAGAGTTATTTGTATATATTATATACTAAAAAGTATATCTACAAGGCATATGTCAAGGTAAATACGTACACGTGAGTAAAACTTGCAAAGAGGTTCTCTTACGATCGTTTTACGTCAAATGCAAGTGCTCCTTTCGTCTAAAAGCTCGTCGCTCGTTTTATGACTGCGCATCCATAGCTTTTAGGACACGTCCTACTCCGAAACAGCTTAGAGTTTCCTGCGAAGCCACAGTATAAACCGACCAAATCGACGAGCCGAAATGTCATTTTTCGTATAACGCTGTTAGCTTATTCAATTTCTCTGCTTCCAAGAAATAGAGGAGTCACTTTGGTAAGAAGGTTATAAGAAATATATCATAGAAAAGCGCAAATTAAAATCGATATTCTTATGATATTTACGATTATGCAAAGTCAAATATCGCAACAATTTGGTAGGATTTAATATGATTTGACGTGATTTACTGACGCCTGATATATATTCTTTTTTTTTCATTTAAAACGAAGAGCATTTTTACATTAAGATATACAACTTTCATTTTTTTAATACATAACATATAACTACATTTTATACATAATACATAATTTAATACATAACATATAACTACATTGTATACGTAATACATAATTTAATACATAACATATAACTACATTTTATATATTTCATTCTTACAAATCCGTACAAAGAGGAAATAACATAAAATCTTTTTTCATAAGAAAATCATATTATACACAGAGACTTATATTCTGTCTATATTTTGTTTAAAAACTACATAAATTTCTAATTAAAATTTTTAACTTGCGCTTTTTATTTAATGTTAAAAATTTTACATATATACACTATCGTAATATATTACATATATTACTTTGCTCAAGTATAATTTCATTTCTTACTTTTGTTTTTATGATTAAAAAACTTTTGCATCGTTAAATGTATATTATGAAATGTACATATGTGTAGTTAGACATATTTATTTGTAACGAGTTTGCTAGTACATCCCTATTACTCACGCATATACGCATCTACTAACATCTCTGATGTTGCGAGGGAAGTTAGTCGGCGACACGACGCTATACGACTAAACTTTCTTATTGGAGTTGCTAGAGTATTGTACGATCTCACCCCTCCGATCACGACGTTTCTCCCTCGGGTTTGTCCAACGTAAGCCCGGTGCGAGAGCTTGAAATGGAAACCTCGGGGACAGATACGAAAGTGTGCACACGGGTGCACCGTGCTTGCACGTGAGAGACCGTTCTGCCGAATTGCAATTGGAGATTATATCGATTTGATCGAATTTCACGCCATCCCAAGAAGCAACCGTACCGTCCGCGTACGCCCGATCGTATTTTTTTATTTGCCTCTTCGGAAGAGAGAGAGAAATGTTTTCCCGCAAAAACGCCTCTCGGGAGCGGCGCCTTGCAAAATCGTCCCCGAGGTGAGAGACACTTCGTACAAATCGCGGCGAGCGTTTCGCGAAATTTTACTCGCAGGAGAAATTCTGATAAACTTTTGTCGAAGAATAGCGCGGTTCTCGTATTTGTTACGGTGGAATTTTACCGCGTTAACCATCACATGAATAGATCATTGGGCGAACTTTTATCCGCACTGAAAATTTCTAGTAAATCTTTATCTAGCAGGGAGGAAGGATAGTGCAATTATTGTATTCATAAGCAGAGAATTATGCAAATGCTCTATACAGAATAAATACACAGGATCTATTCAGGTGGTATATCCAGTACCTTTGCAATTTCTCTTTCGCTCTTTCTTTAACATTTGAAAAGTTGTAAACTGTATATGTTGTGTTCGAACTTTATCTTATAATTATGCAAAATTATGTGCGGATTATACGCAAAATTATATCACGCCATGCAAAGTTACTTGTAAAAACAATGTCATATTCTAAGTTGTATTTGGAAGCGCACTTTTCTCGCTTGAATTTTTTACTAGACTCGCTTTACGCTCAAATATTCTTATTCTCTTCAGACTACTTTGTTTCCTGATTCTGTTAGCCTCATCGTTATAGCCAAGCTGTTTCGGTATTTTTAACATATTTTTTGGATAAAGTTCCACGAGATTCTGCAGGTTCTGCAGGTTAAATTTTCGTACGTTGAAAAACTTTTTCATACAAAGCTTTTCATACAAAGTATTTACTATTTATTACAAAACAGCGCGCACTGCGGGTCTTGACAGCGCCAAGTTCTTAGTGAACTCAGCAGCATGAAAGTTTTGCTTTTCTCAATGAACTCGCATTGAGAGTATTTACATACATATCGGATGTATATATATACGTGTATTACACATTCTTTTTTATTACGCTCCCCGAGGCGAAATTTTATTTGGCAGTATTCTTGTTTGACATTGACAGAATAGAATTCGTGGCCCACAGAATATTATTACAATCGCAAATCAGTGCTTATAAAATTGACATTAGATTTTCTTTAGAAGACCAATATTCATGTAATTGTAAATTATATACAATCATTGATTAATTACATTGATTAATGAGCATTAGTAGTATACATTCCGATCAAATTATTATACTCCGATAAGCAAAGCTGAACTATGTATATCGGTGCGTTAGTAGTTGTTATCCTGACCTGAATCAGAGCCGGTTTTAGTTTAAGCGGGGCCGCGTGCTAATTAAAAAGCGGGGCTGAATGCAAATTAAACAGCGATACTTCATATCATTAAATTTATTTTATATATATATATATGTACATATTATTTTGTATATATATATATTTTTATGAAAATTAAAAACATAGACTTTATTTTTATACAATATTAATATACTATACGATATAAAATATGAATAGAAACAGAAACTTTATCTTTGGTATTTAAACGGTATTCTCTTTAGCATTTAAATGAGTAAACTTAAAAAGATACTTTTCTTGCCTTTATTGCAGCAAATGAATCAATCGTATTATTAAAATCAATCTCATGAGATATGTCACTTTCTATCGACATCAATGTTATACCTAATAATCTTTCTTGCGACATGGATGAACGAAGATAATTTTTAATTATTTTTAATTTCGAGAAACTCCTTTCTGAAGAAGCAATCGTTATTGGTAGAGTTAGCAATATACGAAGAGCTATATATGTATTTGGGTAAGCTAGATTGAGTTCAGTTTTAACTAAATATTTTAATACATCAAGCAGGCAATTTTGTTCGTTTTCAGGAATTATATGGATAAACGATTTTAATTCTTCAAATAGTTCTAACTCACTTATATCAAAATCATTTTTATCTTGTAATATAAGTTTTAATTTATTGCAACTTTTTATCAGCTCTAGATCCGATAAATTTTTTATGTCACGAAAACTATATAAAAATCCAAATTTGTTTTTAAAATTTTGATATAATTTAAATCGTTCATTAAATGATTGTATAGCCTGATCAACGATTAAAAGAAAATATTCAATGCGAAATTTTTCTTCTTCGTTAGTTATTACTTCATCAGCGTATTCATAGTTAAATTTACGCTTTGTAACAGCAACCTTATTTTTAGGAAAATAAGGTTCTATATAATTTTCTGCTGCAATATCATTGGCAATTCGCACACTTTCGTCATAACCGGTAGTTCGAAAAGTTGACAAAAAGTTGAGTAAAGTATCTAGAAACGATATTGCAACATCCATTTGCATGTTTCTTTGCTGCATAAATTTACTCACTTTGTTTACTTCTACAAGTAATTTGTACCGTATCACAATTGATAATATAAACTGATAAGATTTAATTTCTTGTAACAAAGAATATGCTTCGCTAACGATTTTTGCATCTTTAGACTCGCTAAAAATTTCTTCAAATGTTTTTATAAGTTCTTTAATTTGGAACTGTATAACTTTTACACTTTCAACTCGACATTCCCACCTAGTTTCTGATAATGCTTTCGGTACAAGCTTTAAATATTTTTTCGCAATATCATATCTATAGTTAGAAGCTGACAAGAAAGTATATATATGTTGAATAAATCCGAAAAATGTAATAGCCTTAGGAGAAACATTAGCAATATCTGAAAGTAGGAGATTTAAATTATGACAACCGCATGGAGTAAAAAATGCTCTTTGATTTTTTTGCAATAAATGTGCTTGTACACCAGATTTGTGCCCTTTCATATTTGCTCCGTTGTCGTATCCTTGTTCTCTACAATGTTGTAAATCAAGTTCAAGATCTGTTAAATGTTTTTTTAAAATGTGTTATTCCCAATCCACTACTGTCTTTAACAACTAAAAAACCTGTAAAGCTTTCACAAATTTGTACTTCGTTTTTATATACATAAATGTAGCGTATTATACAAGATAGTTGTTCCTGATGGGAAGTATCAGGAGTACAATCAAGGAGAATTGAAAAATATTTAGCAGAATTTCTAATTGTATTACCTATCAATGATATTAGTTCATTTTGTACATTTTTACCGAGTAATGAGCCTTAATCTTTTTATCTTTTACATCATTGACATGTTCCATCAAAATAGGATCGTACCGAGACAGAAGTTCAACAAGCCCTAAGAAATTTCCATTATTTTTTGTAAAAAGCACATCAGACGAACCTCTTAAAGCCATGTTATGTTCACATAGTATTGGATAATAGATAATATTCGTTCTAAAATATCCCTCCATTTATGTTTTTCTTGTATAAAAAGTTTCTCAGATAAGTGAACGATATTATCCTTATTTTTAAGTTTTTAGCGTGCATCATTCCACATATCCATTGACTTAAAATGTACTTTAGACAATTCATGTCGCTTTAATTGTTCTGATGTATGTTGGCAATTATTAAATCCATCAGTCTCAAGTTGACCCAGACCAGTTTGAAATAACTTACATGGAAAACAAAAAATTCGGTTTTTCTCTTTCGAGTATGTTAGCCATGGCCTATCAACTAGCTCTTTATTGCACATTTTTCTACAATAATATATTTTAGAAAAGCATCTATTTGTGTTATCTTTTGGATAATAATCTAGGCAATGTCTTTCAAGATCTTTTTCAATTAAAAATATTGTCTGAGATTGTGTTAGATGTATTGGCCATGTGCTGATGTCTTCAAGTTGTTTATAATCTTCAACATAAATTGTATTATCTTCCACTGTATTTATTATGTCCTAACAACGAAAATTCGTAAAATATACGTAAGTAAAAAAATTAATATTTAAATAAATAAGTAAATTAGTTTAATCTACTACTGATTAATAAATTCAGAACAACTTTAATCTTTAATGTACTTACAGTTTTTGTACTTGAGTGTGTCAAATCAACATAACTTTTAAAGTCCTGACTTTCATTCGTTTTGACATATATTTTACATGAATCTTGTTGACTCACATCAGGCGTTTCTTCGGTTTGATTATTTTCTACTTTATTTATAGATTCTACTTTCAGAAATTTATTCATAGAACCTTCTTGGGTTTTAATAAATTTGTCTGTAGCTTTGCGTTTTCTCTCCTCCTCCGCACCACTAACATATTTCCTGCCAAAATCTCTGTTCCTGCTAGTCATTATTTAAAGAAAAAAAAAAATAAAACTTTTAATTGCACATAGACCGCACTTTCGGGTAAAATTACTAAACCTATTTGTAGCTTTAATGATGTCGAGAGTACTAATTGTCTTTATTCTAATCTATAAGCAAAGAGTAGACTTTGGTGCGGGTTTTCGCCACTAACAGAGTGCCATGAGCGCTAGTATCGTATGGACTAAAGTAATTAGCGAGGCGCTGGCGATGTTGCGGAGAATTTTTATATAACAGTACCCATGTAGTCACTAGTCGGCACTAGCGTTCGCAGCGCTGTGAGTGTGGAAAACAGCAACGAAATCCGCTCTCTAGTTATATTTTAATCGCTAGCATGGGGCCGGTCAAACCGCGGGGCCGCGTGCAACGCACCGTTCGCACTCTGTTAGAGCCGGCCCTGACCTGAATATTGCATCGATTCTTGGAATAACGAAATAGAGTCTCGAACATGGCGTTAATTAATATACTTTTCTTTGATCACATCATCGTATACGTTACTAATACATTTTCAGCTTAATGTCATGTCATTTATCATAACGGAGGTTTTCGCTTTTAATAATCGTTTGGCAAACTTGATGAGAATAAGGAAATACCTAAACCGAGATTTATACCTAGATCGATATTTATAATTTATTATCATTTGGCAAATTGTAACTTGACAATTATATTTGACTTATTTTTTTAATTTTTTTAAAATCAGAAATTAGGAGAGACTCCTTAGAATATTTTTATCGATAATTAAATTTTTAAAATAGCGCGTGATCAGTCTTTGGTCTTTTACGAATTTTATTTAATAGTTTGCTTTCGTATTATATTATTGTATTACGCACAAGAGATTTAAAAACTCATCTCACTTCGCGATAATCTCCGTGAACGTAAGACCAATTAAATTACTCGCCGCGAGATGAAATGCGCTCATGAAACAGTTGATTCGTGTCCGAAGCAGCAAACACAAGAAGAAGAAAAAACAAAATCGGTGTAGTTTAATCCTCTCCGACAAATTTTAAATGATGTCGTCTCGTCTTTACTTTCGTTCTTTACTTTCGTTCGAACACTTACCGAAATAGAACATGACGTCAGGAGGCAATTGGAGCTTAAACTGATAATCCAGGACTCCTAAAACTTTCGCATTAATTCGAAGACATCTGCTTGAACATATTTTCTTCGTCATTTCGCGATAAAATTATTAGAGTGGCAAAAAATCTAAAGTCATTGTCACGAAGTTAAAAAACGGGCAAAAAGTTTCTGTGGGTTTTATTGAAACATACTTCTGTGTGCGATCGATATGGAAATACATACATGACCGGAAGGAATCTTCGAGCTTCGTGACATGGGAGGCAATAGGAATCGAGTGAAAATATCGGATCTTAAATACGTAGTTTGCGAGCTATGGCCGATTAAAAAGGACTTAGAGTATTGTGTCTCGGGAATACAGATAAATTCGGGAGAAGAAAATCTTTCAGATAATCACACACTATCGCTCGTTTTTTTTTTTAAATAAGCCTGTTATCGGATACATTGTTATAATAATAAAAGATTGAGATTATTACTCTATATACTGTTGTATAATATCGCACGTTCGTGATTCCCGTCGTTAATCAAGAAATTGCTTACAATATTGCTGCTAACGTTCATTAAAATCGCAGACTTTATCAGCCGCTTGTCAAAGAGAAACGAGACATTAAATATGACGACGATCGACGTACCATTTTATGTCTCATGTGATGAGATTTTATCCGGGAAATTACGATCACACAGCTCGGAAATATACACACACACACCCACGTATAGTGCGATCTTTCCCTCTTAAGCTCGGCTTAACGTTTTGTTATTCTGCCTCGTTTCTCACGTCGCTCTCTCGAAGATAAACAGAGAAGATGACCTTTCGATCTTGCAATATTCGTGGCCATGTGAGGTATTTGGTCCGAATTATTGTGAAATCCATATGATAAAAAATATTATCGATCAGGATGAGTGATAGCGTGAATTCGCGGCCAATCAGTATGAATAATGGAGGATCCCCGTGATGATTCGGGGATAACAGGCGTTTGACCCTGTGTTCGAAATTGCGAGCTAGCCAGCGGGTTTGACAACTCGCGCACACAGCTATTCTGTAAAAAATCTTTTCTCAAAGGCCACTACATTGCGCGACGATGAAATGTCCGTGCGAGAAACGTAGTGCAAGAGGCCGTTAAATCAGTTGCATATTAATTAAGGGAGAAGAGGAAGAGGAGGGGAGGTACTCTTTGATCCATCACTGCATGTGATTGCGCCTGCAAAAGTTGAACCAAACTGAACGTTCGAAAAGTTCCAAAGTTCTCTCTTCCTCGTCCTCGTTGTGTCGAAGCGTGTCGATGAATAAAGTTAATCGGAATTTCCGTAATTTTATTGTTCATCAAAGTATAGAGATCGGATAACGCGCATGCGACGACGTAATATTATAAATCGCAAGCCGGACAGATGTCGGGGCGGGGATATTGCGAATATCGACGAGGAAACGTGTGAAAACTGATATTCCTGGTGAATTTCAGGACGTTGATAATTTTTCGCGGTGATTGAATAGGTTCTTATTTACGCACTCTCACTTCTTTCGTGCGCACGCATACGTTGAGCAGAATATTTTGTCAAGATTTTTCTAGGAATATTTTATTCCATTTTTTATTTTCTTAATTCCCTTTTACGACTCAGCATTATCGCGTCATCCGGTAGTTCAGAGAACTCTGGATACGTTTCTTGAATTATGAACATCGGAAATATACTTTGTGTGAGTAATATGCTCGCTCTAGTTGAACTATTTATATCTACTTCTTTGAAAGTTTCCTTAATTAAATGGTCGTAAATGGTTTGGTTCTACAAAAAAAATTCACTGGCTAACTTTTATCTTTAGAATTTTACGATATTAAATTGTCACTTGGTTCCAATACATGAATTATATGAATTAAAGAATATGAAAAATTGTAGATTGCTATAAATTCCTTTCTCTCTTTATATCTATATATTACCCCCTGTCTGTATAATTAAAAATAATTAACATGTAATTTAGTCTTCGATAGGGAGAGAAAAAGAGAGAGAAAATATTATAATCTAAACATATAAATTTCAATTTTGATTGACAGCATAGATTCAATAAAATATTGCTGTCAATAAGCTTGCTATATTTTCTGTCTCAATAAAATCAATTTTATCGTGCACATATTAATTTTCTCCTCGCGATTCAATAAGCCGTGTACGTTGTTGCTTTTTATTAGGTGTAACAATCGTTTATTCCCACCGCCGTTTTAAACGCTTGCAATCGTTATCTCCGTACCTCACGCGACTTTTACATCAAAACGTCCTATAAGTTGATTTTCAGCTTCTCATATAAGCTTCTCGAGAATCTACGAAGCATTTTGTTCTTTGACGAAATGTTTTTCCGCCTTATAAGACGTAAACTCACCTGTTCAATTTATCCGTAATGGATCCTACAATTGTTCCATGCAAGCTTAAGTCGATGGAGTTTGTAACAATGTTTAAAGTTAAAAGAAGCTTATTGTTTGCACATAAGCAACGTACGTTGCGAAAGCTCTGCGATAAACAATCGATTTTGTATACGTCGTGCATCTTATTTAATTTTCTAAAATTCTAAAATTTGTCTTATGCATAAACATCAGTTCCGAAACTACATATTTATCCTTTAAACATACTAAACATATTAAATACTTAACACTTAATAATAGAACATCCCATATTTAGAGGTTTAAAATATTCTTGTTTATAAAGAGCATTGATTATTCCCACGTTTCAAGATATGAATATCTCAAGTCTATTTCAAACAATCTATAATTTAGAATTTTGGCAACATAATTTGGAAAAAAATTATATCTGCATAGAATATTCGGAAAATCAGAAAATTTTTTTTTCAAATGCATATAGACGTATGATGTGCGTTTATAAATTTTCTATACGTCACACGACACATACAACCAGATGGGATTTTCTCTCGGATTCCGTTGCGGATTGTAAATCTGAAACAAGCTAAAAATAAATTCGCCCTGTGAGACAAACAATCGAAATACAGAGTTGTTGCGAAGAGTCACAGAAAGCATTGCGAAGGACTAACCAACCCCACAATACTTTGTTCTATGTTGCTCAATTTTCATTCTGTATTCGTCCACAAAATTCAATAGTAATTATTTTTTCCTTCGCGCCGTGTAAATTGCAACTCGACATCTCCGTAGAGCGCGAATCCAAAGTAATGAGCGATCGCAACCGCCCAACGTATAGGGCATGCACGTCATGTCGTATATAACATCTAAATAACAAACCTTACGCGCATGCAACAACTTCTTCAGCCATTATCGGGCTGCAGGGTACGGCTGTGGGCTAACAGCGAGACAATAAATTGCGACGTACATTACATGCGTTCAGCTCGCGACCGTGTGGAAATAGCGATCGATCGGATAGCGGGCGATGTACATGCATATGTTCCTGACATCGGTAATGTTCTGTGTAACTTCACGGATCGACACTGTGTCGCTCCTTGCGACACGTTGCCATCGCGTAGCCGCCAGTCGAATATCGCGCGCGCGCGTGATTGGACTGATTCGCATTTACAGTAATTCCGCTATTTTTCGTCACTTCGCTCTTGTACAACGTTATGAGCGCATACGTATGTACTATAGACGTTGCGTGCAATGTCCCGGAATTTCGCGCCGTTGCAAAGGGAGAAAGAGGGAAAGAGAGGGGGGAAAGAGAGAGAAAGAGAGAGCGAGGGAGACGCACACGACGATAACGGTTACGAATGCGCGGAGAACATTGTTGGACGGTGATGGAAATGTTCTAATGTGGCGGCGCGGTGCTTGGAAGCTTACGGATCGATGTCGCAAAATGGGCCGCAACACAGCTGCCTTTTGTTGGGCGAACTTTCGCGCGCTCGGTAGTGGACGCGCGGTTCTCGCTGATGGAAGTTACCGTTGGACAGTAATACGGCGATGCTCTCTATTCTTTTAGGCGAGAGCGTAATGTTTATCGTGTATACGCGTATAAACGAACTCTTGACTTTTTACATGAGGACATTTCAATGAGATTTTAATCGGGTTAGCTTGAATAATAATCAATGGTAACACGGGATAAGGGCGCGCAGCGGCATTGCATGCAAATTAG